GCAGCTTTACCCTAAATGCTCATTCGTGTATGACCAAATTATTTTGCAAGTGTTTCCCACCTCAGGTTACTTCTGTTACAAACCAGAGCTGATCAAACTGTTTGATATCACTTCACAAGACTAAAACCTGGTACTGCTGCACTTGACTCTGTTTTTACAGGGCAGTCTCTATGTAAATGTCCTTCCTTTGCCACTGCAATCCCTCTTGGGTTTTGGTATAAAAACATCCTACTGGTGCTACTTTTATTAATGAAAATTAACCAAGTTATCCTCACTTCTCTTCAGGAGTACTGTGTTCTCTCCTTCCCCAATAGCTTCTTACCATCTCATTTGCCAAGTTGCCTCTTCACTAATTTAATATTTCACTAATAAATGCAATATACTAAATTATTTTTATCTGGGAAACCATCTACCTCTTAATAAGGAATACCAATATTAAAATATTTTGTCTCCCTTAAGCCTCAACAATATTTTAGTCTCAATTACAATGCCCTTGAAACAAGTCCAGAAGTTTCTGAAAGTCTGCATCCATCCACGTGTCAGTATTTATTCCAAGCTGTCACCAGATTCAGTAATTAGGTGTATGGAGTTGCTCTAATTCTACAGGCACTGGTGGCTAACAGCAAGCTGGGTGAGAAAGCAGCATTTGCTCACCCATCATAGCCTGAGTTATGTAACCCACCAGCTGCACTGCAAGCTCAGAGCATCAGCTCACAACCAAAATGACTCTGCTGACCTTAAAGAACACTTGGAACTTCTGCTGTACCTCTCCCCTCACAGACATGTGGGATCTAACACATAACACACAGTAAAGCTGTTAGTTGTCATAGGAAATGAAATGAAAACATCCCAGAGACACAAGACAGCAAGTACACTTGACACTATTTCCTTTTGTGCCTCACCAAGGAGCACGTGTGACCCACACTTGACTCTGTAGCCATTTCACAGAACAGGGATGTTTATTGTTCACGCACTGAGGCTGCACTTTCAGAATGCAGCTATGAATGCTGCACTTGAAGTTTTCCAGGAATACGATTTGTCCTTGCACACTTGGCATTATAATTTTGGGAAAAGCAAGGATATCTTTCCAAAAGGCCCACTCTCAATGTGTGCCTGCTGAACTGTGGTTCTCCTCCCCCCCAGCACATGCTTAGCTCAGGAGTATTATGGAAATGAGGGCTTGTTTCCAAAATGGCATCCATCTGTTTTGCTGGGGTTTTTTTTAGCTCAGACATTTAAAAAAAACAAAACAAAACCCCAGCATAACAGCCCTCGGCGTTGGGATGGAGATGGTTTGCCAGCTGATAAGGTTAGGAAATGCTGCATGTTTGCACAGCACCTCACAAGTGGGGCTTTAAAGTCTTACTGCAGAAAGATTGGTGATAAGCAAGTAAAACAACAGAAGCTGTGTCCCAAAGAACTCCTAACTGCCTGTGGTATGTTTACAAAAATGTGCAAATTTGGTTATTTTCTGTAAGTAATTTTAGAGGAATCCTCAACACAACTGGCCAGCCCATTCACATACACACTTTTGTATTTATACAGGGACCTGCAAGGGCCTTTTAGGAGCGGAAATTTAAACAAAAGACAACGAGAAACATTTCATTATTCCCATCCGGAATCACAGAATGGTTTAGGTTGGAAGGGGACCTTGAACATCATCTTGTTCCATCCCCGTGCCACGGGCAGGGAAACCTTCCACAATCCCAGGTTGCTCCAAGCCCCGTCCAACCTGGCCTTGGACACTTCCAGGGATGGGGCAACCTGTGCCAGGGCCTTCCCATCCTCACACTGAAGAACTTCCTCCTAATATCTGACCTAAACCTACTCTTTCCATTTGAACCCGTCCCCCCTTGTCCTGCCACTCCAGGCTCCTGTCCCCATCCTTCCTGTGAGTTCCCTCCAGGTACCAGAAGGCCTCAATGAGGTCACCCCAAACAGCCTCCATTCCAGGCTGAACACTCCCAACTATCTCAGAATCTCCGGGAAGAATCCCAGTCCTTCTCAGGGTGGGGAATCCCTCAGTCCGCCCCTCAGTCTCACTACCAACCAAACCCCAGCACAGACAACACCGCAGCCGCCCCCCGGCCCCGGACCCGAGCCGGCCGCAGGCCCCGGGGCGGAACACGGCGCTGCGCCAGCCAGAGCCACGGCGCCACGGTGAGGGGCCGAGCGGGGCCGGCCCGGCCTCACGGCGGTACCTGCAGCGGGTGCGCCTTGCTGAGGTGCATGTTGAGGGCCGGGCTGTTGGGCAGCACCTTCCCGCAGCCGGGCACGGTGCACAGGATGTTGGTCCGCACTTGGGACAGCTCTGTCACCGAGGGCCGCACCAGCTCCCCGGCGGGCGGCACGTCCCTCACGGGCGCGGGGGGCCGCCCCAAGCCCCCGCCACGCCGCCCGGCCGCCGCCGCCATGTTGCTGTCAGCTGCTCGGCCCCCGCTCCGCTTCCGGGGGCGGCGGCCAATCGGCGGCGGCGCTGCTGAATATTCATGAGGCACGTGGCGCGGCCCCGCCCCCGGCCGTCAGCGCCCCGCGGCGGCGGCTGCGAGCGGTGCGGCTGGGCCCGAGCCCGTGCGCGCTCCCGCCGCACAAAGCGCGCACACGGCGCACCAGGACACGCGGGGCAAACGGTGAGGGGCAGCCTGGGCACGGCCCCCGGCCCTGTGCACACAGCTCAGGTGGCTCCGCTGCACGGCCCAGGGGCTGCAGTGCTTGTGCTGCACCGGGAAGCGGAGAGGAGGCACCGATTTCTCCGCTGGTCAGGGCCGGGACACGAGGGAACGGCCGAAGCTCCGGCGGGAGGGTGGGGCTGGGGATTAGGAAAAGTTCTTCATCCAGAGCACGGTCATCAGAACAGAGTGCCCCGGGCAGTCACAGCTGACACAGCTCCAGGAGCATCTGGAGAACACTCTCAGTCACACAGTGGGACTGTTGGGGTGTCCTGTCAGGGCCAGGAGCTGGACTTGAGCAGCCTTGTCGGTCCCTTTCCAACTCAGCATATTCTATGATTTCTGTATATTGGAATCGCCAACACAACACACAGAGGTTTTTCTCCTTTAGCTGGTCAAGTTAAGGGTAAAGATGCACACCAGTCTGGGTAAGAGCTATACCATAGGTGTAGCCCCAGGATGTGTGTTCCTCCTGCAGCCCCTGTGCCCTCAGCTGCAGGCATTCTGCTGCTTGGGGTTAGCACAGAAGAGTTTGGGTTGAAAGGGACCTTTAAACATCATCTAGTCCAACCCCAAACTTCCAAACTGCTGGAAGAGACCAACTGGAATGGGGAAGACAAGATTGGTCTCCATGTTCCCCCTTCTCCTCACCTCCTCCATGAGGACACCTGCTCAGCAAGAAGGAACCCCAGAGCTGCAAATGTTTCCTGACAAATTAATAAATACACACCTCCTTGCCTGGAAATGCTGTGTAGTTCCTGGAATATCCCTGCTTACAGGAAGTTAGAGATACAACATCTTTGAAAATCAGAGATACTGAAAAGGGGATGGAGGCTGCCTTTCCCAGAAACAAGAGGCAGGAGGCCAGGTACTCACAGTGTTCTAGAGCACTTGGGAACTTTACCTGTATGGTAAATCACTGCCCTCTCAGGCATTTAGGTTATTTGGGAGAGCATTATGAAGAACAAGTGGCACAAAGTGAAATATATGCTGGAATCTTAATGGATCTGAATCCTGGAGGTATGGTGGAATATGTTAAGAGCCAGCTCTTAATGTCTATCACACCAAACTTGGAATTCTTCCACAATCCTAACATTATGTTAAGTACTTTGTCAAATCAACATTTAAATCACACAGGTGGAATTCCCAAAATCCATACCACTAGCAGATAGTCCTAAACCTATTTTCATGTGTGAGTTATAGAGATGCTGAAAACCAAACCAAAAATCTGTATATAAGTAATGTTTTCAAGTCAGGCCAAACAAACTTTCATGAGATGACTTAATTTACACATTTATTTACAGTCTAAAACAAAAAACATGCCCATACAACCTCTGGAAATATGGCTGCTTCTGTACACTGAGATATTGAAAGTATATGGGAATTCTACATTCACCAAGTACACACAAAACAATTCAGATAACAGAATTAAAAGTAAAAACTTGTACATTTTAAATGAATCTCCAGATCAAATCAATCTCAAAAAAACAAAGCAGGAAATATCTATATAATTGCCAATGTTTAGCAGCTCTAAAGAATTTCATTGCAAAGCTGTTTGCATTAGTGACTGTTGCCATCTCAATTCCATGAACTTTGTTCCCAAGCAAAAATCCAGTGGCAGTGGGCAAGGATTTGAGAAGGATCAACCACTGAGATATTCTAAAAGATGTAACTTCCTCAAAAGAAAATATTGCCTCTTCCATTGTATTCTTCTGAGACAAAATTTTCTAAGACATTAATAGCAACAGGCAGATTTTCAAGTATTTCTTACTGGCTGTTGCCCTTGGTGAGAAAGACTTTGGAAGCTGAATTAATGAATCCCTCCTAAAGCTGGATGGAAGCTTCATTCCCAAAGTCCATTTTCCCCCATGCCCTGAAATAGTCTCAGAATACAATTTTTCTACTTAGATAAAAACATGCCTGAGCTGCAGGCAGGGAGCCCCAGCCATCTGAAAGGGACTGTCCCCATGTCACAAACAGGGCAGGTGCTCTGTCCAAAATATGAAAGGCCACCTAGAATATTGTAGCCATCTACAGCTATTATTGTGTCTTTATTAACTTCACAAATACTATTAAAATACAGTTAAGAGCAGTCATCACATGTACATTTAAAATAACTATCATCTCTGTTTAAACTTTGCAACTAGCTTTTATTAGTTAAGGCTAACTTCTGTTAAAGACAGCTGTGGAAAAATAATTCAAGCAGAGCCATAATATGGAAAAAACTTCAGGGTATTAAGAAAGAATAACTTATTTTTTAAAACCTTATGATGATTTAGATTAATTCCAGTAATAAATGAGTTGCATATTTCTCTATTAATCAATTTTAAATTAAGGGCTTACAAAACTTTCTGGATATAAACCTTTTTTTTCTCTAATTTTAAAATAATTCCTAGCTTTATGTGGTATGCATGTAAGGAGTGGTGAGAGTGGTGCATCAGCCATACCTGGGGAGAGAGAGAGACACAGATAATTGCAGCTGTACTCAACCACTACTTACCTTTAATAACTGTTAATAAAACTCAAACACAAAACAAAACCACTAAAACTAAAACCACAGCTTGAGTATCCATACACAAACCAGTAATTTTAAGAATAAATTGTTTAGAGATAAGTTTTTAAAGTGGTAACATTTTTATTCTACGTTTCTCTTTCTAAACCAATTCTGAAGTTGCTCCTTTATATGAGATACAAGCAAAATGGAAAATGACAAAAATATTTAAAACTCTGGAATTTCCATCCATTTTACAGAGTTGGAACACTTACCTGCTGGTGCCAAGAATTTCAGTGATTCTAAAAGATGTGGACTAGAAAACTTGACCAAACATCTGAATGGCTCTTTTTTATCCAAAACATCCATTTTAGGATCACTTTTAAACATTGTCTCAAGCTGTTAACACAAAATTTAACCAGTGAGTACAAGCAATAAATATATTTATATGTTATTACATATTACATTTGAACATTTAATAAGGCTGTTTCCAATTTGCAATGATAACATGATTCCAGCTGGAGGAATGTTGTAGTAAAATCTGAGGGTGCCACCATGTGGCAGAGTTTTCTGAAAGCAAGAGGCAGCTTGTTCAGCAATACTGTAAAACATTAAGTATTTCTTAGAATTTTCAGTTTATTTGTTCATGCAATAAAACCTGTGCATCATTGAGGAGTCAATTATGGTGTCATTCATAGCATAAGTTTTGTATGTACTTAAAATAACCCTTATTTCTCATGCTCCAACACATTGCTGGTCTAAGTCTACTTTTGTTACAAAAACAGGGCAAAGTGCTGAGTTCACAGGGCTGAAAGACTGAAACACAATCTAAAACTCTGATCAAATTTCAACCTGTTTCTTACAGAGACTTTTAACTGATTTATTTTAAAATGTCCTCCCTAAAGTTTAAAAAACTCCATAGTAAAAAGTAAAAAACTCCATAGTATTTCTTAAGTTTGAAATTTAATCTAACTACTGCTACATTAAAATTAGAAAACCCCAAATCAAACTGGTTGCTTTTCCTACCCTGTATTGTGCAAATTCGAGTTTTGGCTGGGGACCACTACCAAAAACTTCCTGGTTCAGTCTGTGGATTCTTTCTTTCTCACTTCTGTTTTCTTCAACTATCCTTATATCTGCTGCAGGGGAAGAGAGTAGGGAAAAGAAAACAGAAAGACAATGTTGTCAGCTGCTGCAATCCTGTTTTTCTGATCAGATTATTCCAATGAAAATTTGTAAATAATAGTTTTAATGAATTCATTGCACTCTTTTTTTTGGATAAGGTAGCTGTCTCTATCATTTATATTTTCAGTTCTTACCAAGAGAAAAACACAAGCTAATGTGAGATACTGGGCATTGAGTGGATTTGGTTTCCATGTCCAGTACCACTCATGGGAAATACTGACCTCTCCCAGTGCCAGCCAGTATAAAGGCACCAGGGATGGATAACATAATGGACATTTCCTTTTATCAATCTCACAAGCTAGCAGGAATGACATTTAAACTGCCTTTACATTTCAATTATACATACCATTTTCTGGTTCTACGTTCCCTCCTTGCAGAGGTTTTGGAGGGCAAGTTTGGAAGTTCTAAATAGAGAGAGAGAGAGGAAAAATTATTATTATTATTATTATTATTTTAGAACCTCTAGCTGAAAAGAACTTTAATATATTTCCTTTTATTTCTCATTCTGGAAGCATGATCTTCCAAATTTTGACCATTACTAGAAGTCTGGAAGCCAACCTCATTTTGAAACAAAAAGCCTGTCTTAGGATATTTGTGAACATTTCCCTATTTACAAGTTTTGCATGGATGAGCAGACTAAGCACCCATTCCAACAGCCTTCAATTCATGGCTCTAGGAAGCCTAATGAAAAGATGCTAAAAAAGCTTAGGACTGAATTGTTCATGTAATTTTTAATCTGAGTTTAGCCATCAGGAATTACAATAATAAAGAGTATATGGGATACCAAATGATTACATCCCCACTGCAATGTTACCTTCATGAAAGGCTGTCCACCTCAGTAGTTCAATATTATTTTAACTTGATGGTCTCTTGGAAAAGGTGAATTTTCCCCCTTGCTAAGGGGTGAGAACTAGGCCTGAAACAAAAAGCAAGACTTATCTTAGGATTTACTTGTGAAGTGGCTCACCTGGCTATATCTTTTAAACACAATATCTTTAAGGGAGTTTAAAGAATGACTTCGAAGCTCCATGTCACGGATGTCATGGTAATTGGAAGCAACAATCAGGGCCTTTAAATAAAAATTAAAATTGTTTTAACGTCAGACTTCATCATCACTGTGTTTATAATATGTAAAAAACATATAGCATCTCTAGACATTGTGATGTTTTTGTTCCAAGGTAAGCAACTGCCCTTTAATAAGGATTTTCATATCTGAAAAAACATTGCAGAGATTGTTACACAGCTGAGGTTAATATTTAAAAGCATTCACAGTACTAACAAGCTAAGTCCCATAGTCTTATCAGTTGAAAAATAAACAAACAGAATCATAAGATATTTGAATTACTACTACAGAAATTTGAGGAAATTTCTAAATAGAGGAAAAAATACTACCAAAGCTGATCATCACAAGTACACAGAAATGATTCCCTGATGAGCTCATATGCTTAGTTCTTGAAGTTAACAGTGTTGATCTAATATTCTTCCACTTCTGAGACAATTTAATGGAATACTGCCCAAGAGTTAGTTAAGAAATTAAATTCAGGAGCAGTAAGAATCCCAACAAACTGAATTTATTCACAATGCACCAATCCAACGATTTGGATTTTGCCTCATTTTTATCATGAGCTAAGGAGAAAAAAAAAATGGAGTTTAGCAAATTCTGTTAAGTGAGGTGTCTTTACCAATCCTCTTAAAAGCTCACCCAATTATAGCTCTACATGACTGTGGGGAAGCCAGCCTGAGCAGTTTTAATCTGTACCTGACACAGCAGAGGCAAGGTGCTCTTCAGCACTGAGGAAGAAATGAAGACATAGGGAGTCTGTGAATGGTACACAACATAGCTGGGCTTGTACTGGTTTGGTTTCTTGTGTGGTGTTCCCCAGGCAACTCGGATCCAGATTGCATTGTCCTCATACTCCTTAAAGGTGATGGTGACCTGACAGAAATAGGAAAGTTTTGATTTACCAACACATTTGGGTATCCATAAACATCTTCTTATCTCTTAACACCTCTGTTCACAAGAGCCAAGCATAATTTAGTACCACTGCTTGAATAAGAAAAACACTAAATGGCATAAGGATTGTATTTAAATAAAATTTCCACAGAAAAACAACCTCACAAATGGGATAAAAAGAAGAATTACCTTTCAAATTCTAATATTGTTTTTCTTCCTGTCAATATACAATTTTTTCTGAAGGTTGAAAATAGAAAATTGCTTGTTACAAAAGCACTGATCTCTCTTTTGGGAAAACAACACAAAGATGTCTGTTGAGAAGGAGGGCTAGTGGCAATAATTCAAATACATCAATTTTTGGAGAAACTAAACTTTTGATCAACTTGTCATTTTAGACCTGAATTTAAGATTTAACACTGCTCAAGAATACACAATCAAAAGTCTAAACATTCCCATTTCTATTCTTGTTGAGTTGCTCCTTGTTTACTTCTTTTTACCTTGACTCAAGTAGGTTGACTTAAAAAAAAAACCTGAACAACAAAACCCCCAAAATATTGCAAAACTTTACTCTAAGAGTGATGTGAACTGCAGCTGATTGGCTGTGAGTGTGATTTGGATTTGTTGCCTCTCCTGTTGTGAGAGGGAGCCCACTGGGTGTCATGGAGTGACAAAGGTGATCAGCCAGAGGCATTTTCTATTCCCTTGCCAAATGAAGCTGGTGAGCTGAAGCAACTAAAGGCTCCTGCAAACTGGGCAAAGATTTGATAAAAAACCACCAGCATGCTGCCCTTCTTGAAGCTAGTCACATTTTAACACAAACCTGCATTTTCTTTCCTTCCAGCACAATTGTGAAGTTGCTAAATCAGATATGCAATACATTTTTCCTATTTCACATGCAGTTCCTATCATTCCTAAATGAATAATTCCATTTAATTCTTGACTCAAACTGTGAGGAACAGTTATAAAAACAACATATTGACACCAGAGCCATGAAGCAAATTTAGAATGGATTTATTCTTACATTTTTCAAGGCTGACCGAAGTCTTCTTTTAAACTTTTTTTTGAAATCTGTTATATCAAAATATTCCAATTCTTCTCCTGTTACATGAGACAAAAAAACCCAACCAGAAATAAGATTTGTGTTTGCAAGTAGTTTAGAGATGTTTTTAGTTTTGCTGAAACAAAATTAAGCAGGAAAAAATAAAGTTGCATAACCTTAAACAAAAAGCTGTATTTTAATTCTGACTCATATTATTGTTATGCAGAGAAAAGATTAATATTTAAATAGTAATTTCTAATGTATAATAATTGCTTGAGAAGTTAATGGAAAGTATTCTAAAAACATTAAATGTAATCTCCATTGAAAAATGCATACTAGGCTGCAGTAAAATATTAAAAATCTCTCTACAGAAAAAATCCAAATGAAGCTACATGAAAATGTAGGACAGTGGTTAAAATGTAGGATATGAGGCAGCACAGCACTAAGTTGCTGAGAATTGTGGGATTACAGCAAGGAAAGACATTTTACCTGATTTTTTCATCTGGTAAACACTCCACATTCTTTTGTTTTGGTAGATGTGGTTGTCTAGGAAAAATAGGAATTGCTCAATAACATAATGTATTATCAAACAGGAATTAAAGGAACAAAGAATTTTACAATACTTTTATAGACAGGTTACTTTAAAAATATGACTTCTGATAATGCAATATAATGTATTAACATTCTTAAACTACCACTCATAGCAATCATAAAAGCAAAATAGATTTTTGTTAATTAAAGAGATGTAAAGTTCTTTTCTAATTTGTTGAGTGGTTAATAAAGGGCATCCCTGGGGTTCAATGTTTAAGGGAGATTTTACCTAAACTGCTCAAGGTAAGACATGTAGACTGTTAGAAAAAAACCTTGAGATTTAAACTGTTGTCTAAACAAGTTGTGAATTGATATTGGAGTTAGGAGTTTTATACTTTTGTTGATCTTGAGCTTTTTGTAAAAGAGGCCACATCCAATAAGATTCATCTAAAATGTGATGTGATGTGCTTACCTCAAATGCATCTGCACCCCACAAGGGTCATCTCTGTGTAATTAAGGGTATTACCAACTTACTCAGAAAAAAAAATGTAATTTTAATTCACTTTTTACTTACAAATTATGTCTAGAACTGCTGCTTGCTTTATGTCTGCAGAATTTTCCTAGAAAGAACAAGAGTGCATGATGAACTACAGGTCCAGAAAGCCAGATCACACTGTTTATCAAGTGAAAAATAATCTCAGTGTTAGTAGTTTAAAGGACATTGCACTGAAGCCCACAGCACACACCTCTCTTCAAAGGCACCACACCTGGTCCCAAGTTTTGAGAAATCAATAATGAAAACTATTTCAGCAAGGTTTAAATGTTCCTCTCCAGAGGCAGCAAGAGGAATGTAATCCTTACAGTGTGATGAACAAGCAATTAGAAAGAAAATTAATGGATATTTATGACAATGCAACAGTGACTGGTAGGAAAACTGTCAGGAGTTTTAACCTACTGGCTATTGATTATTTATGCTCTACAGCATGAAAGGATTTTTAAGAAACTGCATGACACAATTTGTCACAGATACAAGTATTTCAGAAAAAAATGCTATTTTAACATATGGCATTTGCCATTTCATGAGAATAACAAGAGTTTCTTTCCTGTTGTTTGATCTACACTCCAAGTAAGCAATTTTTGAGTATGAAATTCAAGGGAATCATACCAAAAGCTATAGAATTCAAGATGTAGCAGTAATAACTGCATTTACCTGGGTTATGATATTAAAGACTTCTGGTACATATAAAGACTCCTGGTACACTAAAATCAGAGTTAGATCATATAATTTTTTTGCTTACAGCATGCTGCATGGAAGTAATTCTGGCCAAGGAAAGTTAAAAAAAAAATAAACGTCTAAAAGACATAAACTAGTGCTACCATTACTCATACTAAATAGCTTTAAATCAGGACTTTGTGATGACTAAATCTCAATCAATGCCTTTATTTTACAATTTAGAAAAACACCTGCTTTTTAAAGGTTTAACATTTTATCTACCATATGTAACTTAGAGCTAAAACCATGTATTATACTTAGTATAGGGCTGTTCTACACTCCTATAGATAAGACAAAACCAATGGTGTTACAAGCTCAGCTTTACATTTTCCAAACTACAAAGTGCCATTTGAGGCTGTGTTGTAGCAAAAGATTAATGTTTCAGTTTCTTTTCATGATGCTTCTCATGCATCCTACATGTCAATGACATTTTTGAAGGAGAGCATTTAGCTTTACCTCACAGAGTTGAACAACTTCTTGAGAAATGTTGTCCTTTATCTGGTGGAAATTCAGAGTCTGCAGCTGTGCCTCAGAGAGAAAGCCCCATTTCTGCAGCATCATCTTGATTTCATCCCTTGGGATTTTTAGCACAGTTCTTCGGATGTATTCAGCCACAGTTTCATCCATGATGGAACCACCTGGAAAGCTGAAAGGTTAAAGAAAGTAAGACCAAGCCACAGGCAGGCTCAGGGAACTTGCGGCCTTCAAAGTTGTAGAGAGCTGCACCTTGGCTCAACTGGCTGACATTGATGGCAGTCCTAAGGACATCATACTACAGACTTAGGCAGTGGCAAGTTAAAATACATACAATAACTTACACAGACACTGAACTATAGAATATCCTGAGTTGGAAAGGATGCAGAAGGATCAAAGTCCAACTCCCAGCCCTGTGCAGGACACCCCAGGAATTCCACCAGGAGCCCAAGCGGTTCGTCCAAACACTTCTTGAGCTGTCAAGTTTGGCGCTGTGACCACTGCCCTGGGGAGCCTGTGCCAGTGCCACCTCCCCAGTGGATGAAAAACCTTTTCCTGATATCCAGTCTAAACCTCTGAGACAGCTTCATGTCATTCCTGTCACTGGTGGTCAGAGATCACTGCCTGCCCCTCTCCTCCCCTCAGGAGAAAGTCGGTACATTGCCGTGAGTTCCCCCCTCAGTCTCCCGCTCTTCAAGCTGAACAAACCAAGTCTCGTCACGCGCTTAGAAGTCTCCCTTACCGACCGAGGCCTGGTGTGAGCAGAGGGCTGTTGCTGCTGCTGTCTGTCCGGTCCGATGAGTGTCCGGGGCCCTCGGACAGCGGCCACGGGCGCGCAGAACCCGTAACGAACCGAGCGGACCGGATCTGCCCCGGCTCGGCCGCCTCACGCCGCTCCCGCGCCCACCTTTCGAACCGACCAATCAGACCCCGCGCCGTGCCCCGTCCATCCAATCACAGGGCTCCCCGCCCACAGCCCCGCCCCGCTGCGGCGCCGGCGCGCTCTGCGCTCGGAGGCGGCTTCCGGCCGGGGCCGGCCGATTCTCTGCGTCCGCCCCGCACTGGGGTGAGTGAGGGGCGGCCTTGGGCAGGGCCAGCGGGAAAGGGAAAAATCCAGGGAAAAGAGGGTGTAAAGGGAAACCCTCCCCCCTCCTGCCGTATTCCGTTCCAACCGCCTGGCTTTGGGGGGGTGCCGTGCCGAGCCGAGTTCGGGTCCGCCTTCCGGGACCCTCCGCTCACCGCGTAACGTCCTCCAGAGCTCTCGGAGGGCCTTGGAAGGGCAGCTCTGAGGGCGATCTGGGGTCTCTCCGCTGTGGCTGCCGTAAACTGCTTCTCCTCTGTCTGTCTGTCTGTGTGTGTCTGTGTGTCCCGTCGCTTCCTTAAGGCCTCCCGGGAGCAGTGAGGAGCTGCGGAGCTGCTTCCGTGGGACCCCCTGCATTAAGGTGGTTACAGCAGCTGCCAGCCCCTCGCAGCCCATGGCAGAAGCCGAGCACTGTTTACTTTCTGCGAGTGCTGCCTGCCTTTGGTCACGGGATCGGTTTGCTAGAGGGGTCAGAGCCTGTCATTTCCGACATGGAAATGGATCCTCTTGCTCCCTTTCTCTCTGAAGGGGAAAAGCTGTTTTACAGTAAGCTGCAAGATTTTGACAGATTCATAGAATTCTTCTTTGGGAAATTAATAAAATGGAGATGAGATGGAATGAAGCTTGGTCTGGTGGATGCAGCTGAGGTACGAGAGCAGCTGGCAAAACCGGAATTTGGTGACAGCACCTTGTCCTTATGTAATTGTAGAGTGAGTTGGGTTGGAAGGGACCTCAAAGATGATCTTGTTCCAACCCCCTGCCACAGGCAGGGACACCTTCCACTGGACAGTGCTTTGTTTTATGCTGTTTGGATCTTGTCATTCTTAACTGCATATTCTGCAATAATTTGTGCCAAAACTCTGCTGATGTTTCTTGCATGAATACGACCTTAAATAATTGCCAGGAAGTGAAAATAACTTCTTGTGCTTTACTCAATCACCTATTCAACCTTAAATAAAATTGTAGAAATTAGTATTCAAGTTGGTGTTCCACCTGCTCTGTTCCTTAGGATTAACACCTTCTTAATTTATTTTGCTAAGTATGAAATCAGGTATGGTGTAGTTTCATCAGGTACTAAAAGTAGGTGAGTTCATTCTGCTGCTGTGAGGGAGGTTGAATTGTGGGCAGAAAACAGTCACATAAAAATAAAATCAATATGAATCTTATTTATCAGCATTAAAAAAATATTATTTTTTAGGTTCAGGGAAAGTAAATGCATTCTACATAATTAAAAAGATCTCAAAGTAGACATAACTGACCCCTTTTCTGTTTCCTTTCTAGTCTTCATAGATATGTTTGTAAATTATTTTCCCTCATTTTAATAAGTAATGTTGAAAAACCAGTGCATGGTTTTAGAGACTGAAATTCAAGAGGTCATGAGTAACTTCTGTAAGATTTAGCTAAGCTTGGTTTATTAAAGTGGATTTTTAAATTTCTTGAAGATGCTGGAAAGTTTGGGGTCATTCTCAATGTGCCTCATCATAACCTGAAGGACAGCAGCATAGAGTAACACTTGAATATCCTGGTCTGGAGGATGTTAATGGTATTACTGAAAGGTAGAAACAAAGTGCTGAGTTTTGAGTTCCCTTGGGTTTTGAAATGGTGTGTGTCAACTGTGATTTCTCATTTCACCAATCTCTGAGTATTCAGAGCTTTTGTCAAAATTCTCTGTGTAGGAATGCAAGATTTCTGCTGAAGTGTCACGAATGATACCCTGAGGTAAACACCAGCCTGTTAGTTGTGGAGCTGAATTTTTTATGCTAAAAATCTTAGAGAAAACATGATTTGAGTAAACAAAAAATCGTTGAGATTGTAAATATTTTTTTTCCAAACAGAATAATACTGCGTAACCGAGAACGCGAAACTCCAAATGGTTTGTATTAATCAAGTTAGACATGAGATTAACCGCAGAAAGAAATGTTAAACGTGGAGAGTGGAGTGGAGGGTTTGTTCCCGTCCCTGCTGTGCTTTGCACGCTGCTGCTGCCGCCCTGTGGGCGTTGTTTGAGCGCTGGCTGCAAATGTTTGTGTTCTGAGTTCCTGGTCAAGAGCATCATTAGCAACGTAGGTGCTCAGGCGTCATTTTTCATCATCAGGGTTGCTAAACAAGGATTTGCATTTTGCTTTGAGAGGTCGTTTTTCTGAACAGTGTGAGAATTTATGGTTTTTTTTTTTTTTTTTTACTGATGATCTTAGAAAGTTGAAAAAAATGTGATTTGTGTTCTTTTCAAATGGAAAAATAGTAAAAGTTGGTTTAAAAAATAGTCTTCTAACATGTTTTAATTAAATATGCAAAAAGCATCTTATTGAAACAATTGCCTAGATCTAAACCTTCCCTTCACTGTTGCCCCTCAAGCATGGAAAGATTCAGCACTGGGCTGAGCAGCAAAACTAAAGGAACCTAATTCAGTTTTCCTGCTGCATCAGGGAACTGGTCAGTTCATATTTATGGGAGTTTCTGAGAAAAGAAAGGAACTTCCCTGGATTCCTGACATGCTGACCTCATAGTTGATTTTGGGAAGAAGTGGGAATGTACTGAACCCTTTATTTCTCCACACAGGAAGTGTGAGGAAGTCAGGAGGAGAAATTGGCATGTGGAGAGAAATGAGCATTTTATCCTAAATTTTGGTGTCAAACATGACATGCCCACAGTGTTTTTCCCTCCTTTTTTGGGTCAGCCTTTGGTTTCTGCCTCCTTCCTGGGTGCCTGCAGTTTTATTTGAATTCTGTAGTACATGTAGGTTCCTTTTGCAATTAATAGGAAATATTTAATGTATTGAACACATGTATAGATCAATTTTCAGATTAGGGATGATTATGACATCTCGATAATTTATTGTTGATTGCTTTTAGAAAATTTGAGATGCTCAGTCTCCCAAGATTGCTTACAAGGAATGATCTCATTATTTTTCTAAACAGAAATTCTAGTATTGGAAGTTCAGTATCATTATCAGAGAATTTTCAGCTTTTAGGCTTTTGAAAAAATCTGGTTTATGATGGAAACAATACAGGTAGAATATCCTATATTTTCTCTACTTAAGGAGAAACCAGGCAGGATATGATACTGGAATGAAACAATTTCTTAATTATTTTTTTCCCAGGAGAATAATAAAGATCTAGAAACTGGTTTAGGAAGTTGAAAGATTAATTATCTTCATCCATGTCTTCTATGTTCAGAGACTAATAGTTTATAGAAATGTTTATTTTTAAGGTATTTCAACCAAATTATTGAGATACCTATGTAATGTAATTTTTATCAAGAAGTAAAAAATTGCACTGAATCTCTTATCAAACATATTAAAGGGCAGAACATTTCTGTGCAAAACAGTGAACTATATCAGTGCCATTATGTAAAGAGATAATTTCTTTACTTCTTTCCAAATAGTCACTTCAGATATTAAGATTTGCTTAGCATTTTGCAGTTCTAAAGCAATTCCTGTGTTTTCTAAATATTGTTCTTTTACTTCACTTCCAGTATTTCTTCTACAGAAATTGTGTGTTTACCTTGGCATTCTTTACCCCACATTTCTGTTAGTAGTTTCCTCAGAGCAATTTATATTGCTTATTCACGATTTTTTCCTGTGATTTTTTTGTTCTGTTTTGTTTTCCCAATATTCTTTTATGTATCAATTCCCTTTGAGTTACCTTTATAAAATTCTGTCAATTTGGAGTTAGATTCTGCTAAGATGGCACCTTGCAATTCTTATTTTTCACTAGAATGTTACTAAAAAGAAACTAAGGAAACCAATGTTCTTTCTTCACACAAATTGTTGTTTCTCTTGAAAATCTTTTGTTTGTCAGAGTCATTCCCCTCCAGCAAAAGGATTTCAGCCTTCCCTGCTCATTTATAGACCACTGTCTAATCTGACATTTCTGAACACCAGTTTAATATTGAGCACTGGGAACACTGCTCTGACCTAACTTCAGAAGTGCTTAAAGCCTCCAGGGAAGCTCAGAAAGATGTTTTGTTACTTAGTCCAGCACATCCTGCAAGAACTGAGTGCTAGAACTGGAAACATTCTAATATGGGATGTTATTTGAAAATTTCAGGAGTACTGGTCTGTTAGACCTTT